AAAAAAAAAAAAAAAAAAAAAAAAAAAAAAAAAAAAAAAAAAAAAAAAAAAAAAAAACTACTCCACCCGCACTTGCAAGGATCTCCCTCAAGGAAATCCGATCGAAATTTCCTTGAAAATCCACACGAGTACGTACATCGTAAGTATATAGGTGCATCCTTCGACCGGTGCACGCATATGTGCCAACAGCTTGGGTCCCTTGCACGCAAATATCCAGCTGCTTACACGCCATGCCCGGCATACGTGTGTCGGTGGCGTTGACGGCAACAGTGGAAGCAGCAAAAGGAAGGGACAGCAGGAGACGGACGATATATAATGTTCCGCGATATTAAACGGGACGCATTCCAGCGTATTCGCCCTCCTTCTTCATCCCACCCCCTCGACTCCTGTATATATTTATGCGCGCCGCGCCCTCCCCCCCCCCCTCCCAATGTACTTTACATGTATACCTATACCACGTCTCCGTTTATCCTTTTCATCTGCTGTACATGTATAAGTGGTTTTTCTCTCCTATTCATACACCTACGTAATACTATTATCTCGTTTATTTATTTTTTTTTTTTTTCGCTCTCGCGTCTATTTTCCACTCGATTTTCCTGGCCCCTTGCACCGGCTTTGTCAAACAGATAAATATAGGCGGCCAAGCTCCCGCAGATATGGAGGATAAGGCCTTTTTTCGATCTCAATAGGATAGAGAGATAAAGGGCTCGTCTCTATACATCCTACGGCATTCATGTGTCACTGGGCTTTTTTCCCCACCCCCGTTCTTATTTGTTTGATCCCAGTTAATTCGTGTGCCTGTTATATTACCAATGTGAACCTTGAATTAAAAGGTAAAGACAATACATAATTGGTACCATGTACATTATTCCCCGTCTCTTTGGATGCAGCACACAGGTATGTGTATAGGTATTATACGGGTCGTACAGCGCAACCGGAGTGATCGCAGTAGTAACAGTCAGTCAAAGTCAGACTTAGTCCAAAGGAGGCAAGCCGGTACACGCGGAAGAGCGATGCGTCTGCGTGCGAGGAGGGCCCCTTGCTCGGCAAATTTACAGCCCTAACACACCATTACGTCCAACATACGTCCATACATATACGAGCTCGTATAGCAATGCACCCTGATAATCATCTTTCACTCATCGTTAAAACCACTGAATGATTATCCCTTGCGAAAAAAAAAAAAAATGTACTGAGTCGTGTAGAGAGAGGAGATTTTTCCTTGCATCACCCAGGTATCAAATAAATAAGGAACGAGACGTCCGCGCATGCCTCCAATTCGGTCATGTAAAAAATACCACGGAGGAAAGATAAAAAGGATGACGATTCCACACGCGCACACATTGCAGGGTATGGTGGAAAATTTCCTGGGACTCCACCTTCCCACCGAGTATACGTGGACACAGCGATCCAAGAATTTCCAGTTTTCCATCTGCTCCCCCCATTCATCTGGCTATTTTTCCATAGCGTCCGGTCCCCGTTCCCCTGCAGTTGTCCACCAGCCCACACTCCCACGGTACAACACACGTACATCTGGAACTGCCGCCAGCACCGGACTATGCGCCCAGTCTTGCTTGACATTCCGAAACGCCACCCTCGCCTTCTCCTCCCTTCGCTGTTCGCCTGGCCGTACTCCGTATCCTTCATCCGAGCATTTCCAGCCCTCGAGAGCACAGTACCGGCGCCCATACGTGTATATATATACACGTACGTATAATATGCGCGAGAGGCAAATGCAGCCATGCGTCATCCGGCCGTGATCTATGCATCCTGCCCTGACGTATACCTACCTGTGACATTCACGTGTATGCTCGGACTCTATACTCGGGTGGCCCATCTTCTCCTCCTCCTTCTCTTGTACGTGCAGTACATAAACATATACGCTCTGTCGGCCCACGCGTATCTGTACACGAAGCTATATATAAAGGCAGCAACGACACCACACACACTCTCTCTCTCTCTCTCTCTCTCTTGACCTCTGTCAATTTTTTTTCTTTTCCCTCCCCTTCTATCACTTCTTATGCGAGCATATTATGTACCTGTAATGACTTATACGAAAAATCGAGCCATCGGATGACAAGCATCATCTCGTTGCGTTTCGTTGGAGGTACACGTGTGCCATCCCCCGTCGTAAGATATAATGCTCCTCGTCGTCTTGTGCCCTGATGAATTTTTATTTTTACCATCCGACTAGTGTAAAACAGCTCATCCAGTCGTTTACTATCATTTTTCGCTCGAGAGAGGCCAATTTTCCCAAGAGACGATCATTCCAATGCACGATCTCAGTGGGCTGTAATTGATGATAAAAACAAAGGAATTATTACGACAAAGAATAACAAAACAATCGCAGATGTAAAGGTAAACCCGCAACGAGCCAAGGTAGGGAGCCATGTAAGGGACGGAGGGGCCACGTCGTAAGGTCGCGCACAGGTACGCGTAACAGGGTAGCAGAATCGCTCCGAGCGATCCAAGAGGCTTCCAACGCCACTGGCAGCTGGTAGGGGAAGTGAACACGTATCTATACATGTATACAACCCGCGAGCCGAAGGAGGAGGAGGACACACTCCACCCCCGCGTCGAAAGGGCGGAGCAAACCAGCCGCCCACGAGTCTCGCTCTCTGTTTCCCTGAGTACAGAGCTTCTCGCTCTCTCGGCGACTTGCCCTCCTTCTCTGCAGCGCGCTCCCGTATACGGACGGCGTGCTGTGATACGCGATATCAGGCCAGTGGAGGGAGGCAGGGGGTCCACTTGTTGCGCCTCGCGTCGTCCAATACTACGCTCGGCTGCTGCTCGCTCCCTCTCGCCTTTCCCCCCCCCCCCTCTGTTTTTCTCTACGCGAAGCTCTCTTTCTTCCGAGCCGTTTTGCCACCTCCCTTCTTGCCTGCTCCTGTTCCCTCCCTTTTGCTTTTCCACGGCGACTGCGACGCTCGACTCTTTACACCAAATTTCAAAATAATCCCCGGTCACGTCACTTCCCGGGTTTGAAACCAATAATGAGCAAAAGCACAAAAGTACAGCAAAGTCAAAGCGGGTAGCGATGTACATCAACCCCTACGCGCGCCAAAACAACTCATCGGCTCAAAAATACCTACGGGAGTATGGGATGGATGTAGAGAGGGAGCGCGGACCGAGAACCCAGGAGTTTGCCCAGGAGCAAATGAACCCGTCCGAGCCATCAAAAAGAATGCCAGGAACTCCCGGGGGGCGGGGGGTGGGGCCGAAATTCTCGGTCAACAAGTTAGCTCTCTCACCCCCACACCCCCACCCTCTGAAAATCGCGGAGATGTTGGTAGGTAATTCAGTTTTCCTCGACTCCACGTGCATTTACTCCTCTCTATGTCTGTTGCGTCAATGTATACGCATCATCGTTGGAAAAAGGCACTCGTCCCTTCCTGCTCTTCGAATATGTGGAGGTGGGAGGACGTCGGCAACGACAGCAATTTCCGAAATTCGCGAAAATGACGTCGTCATTGCTAAATCGTAACTCTCCGGGGCCACGAGTTGCCGCTGTTGCTTGCCGTATATACGTATGACCTCTGCCTCGCTGTACCCAACCCCCAAAGTGCACTTCACGCGGGAGGCCGGCGTGCCTGCGTCGGCAATCCTCCGGAAGTCTTAGGATTCCACGAAATTTCACGACCTACCTTTACACCCCCGCCCGCCCACCCTATCTTGGCTCTTGGAAGATAAACTCGGTTTAAACGAAGGGGCTGGGGCGCACGTGCGTGCAAGGGGAAGGGGATGCAAGCGCTGTGCGCTATGCGAACTTCAACGCGAGGAATTTTTAGACGAGCCGCGGATTTTCAACCTTCGAGGTTTTTTTTTTTTTTTTTTCTGCTATCATACCTACCTACCCTCTTCTACGTGCGTGTACATTTTGGACAAGGCATTTGATTGCTTGTTTGGTTTTGAGGCAACAAGACGATATTGGCACTGACTCTTTTCGAGCATCCAGAGGTAGGGGATGCATGGGCATCCCAAACGTCCACACTTCTAGGACAATTAATGTTATTTCTATGAATTTTATTACCATAAAACTACCATCACATTACCTACGTGACTTTGGTACGATATTTAAAATAAAATAAAAAAGAATGCATAATAAAGAATGAGCAAACAGTGCCAAGTGTATTAAACATGAAAATTTTTTTGTATTGTTGCAGGCAGTGCGGTGGCTGCAGCCGACACCATTTCCTCACCGTGGACACCCGCAAGTTCCGGGCCGCCGCCCGACGCCAACGGCAGCTCGGATACGAAAAATCTCGACGTTGGCGACATCAGCGATGTTAGTACTTTGTTTTTTTTTCTTTTGCTGAAATTTCATCTCGATCGCTTTCTTCGACTCTTTCATCCTTACATTAGTTCCCTGCTTGCGAAAAAATGGAAACCTTTCGGTACTCCCCATTCGCGAACGGCTTTTAAGTAAAAAAAAAAAATTTTCCAGATAATTTTCAGCTGTTACAATTTTTTCATTCCAATCATATGAACGGTACATTTTAGTTCACGTGAATATAGGCAACGTAACCAACATCGGTACTGAAATATTTTAATAAACTCATTTCGGTTGACATCGACTTACTAGTCTCAAACTTTATCAAGTACAGTAGAAATGATGGAAAAAAAAAAAAGAAAAAAAAATTGATTAACGCGCACCTCGCGCTTGCGATTCGACAGGACGAAAAGGACATATCGGCGGCGGATGCCGAGGGCGTGTGGTCGCCGGACATCGAGCAGAGCTTCCAGGAAGCACTCACCATATATCCGCCATGCGGTCGTCGCAAAATCATCCTCTCCGACGAGGGAAAGATGTACGGTAAGTTAAACGGCGCCTCTTCTACTTTTTATACATTATTACGTAACTACATTATTTTGCACGATAAAAAAATATCCGCACGAAATTCCCAAAGGTCCAGAAAAATCGCAGATAAGAAGAAAAAAAATATAGCCAAATAAAAATGATTCGAGCACGATGATAGCGGTGGCATAAGTATGTACGAACGGAAAAAAAGGAGAAAAAAAAAGAGGCGTCGGAAAAAAAAAAGACGGGGATGTATACGTCTCAGCAGCGTCCCTTCCTTTATCCGACGGAAACGTCGTCAACATTGCTTCCCAAGGGATGAGACCGAGAGTAGGTATACATATGGGGGAAGAGAGTGCAGAGGGGAAGCTGGCCGGTGACGGGGCCGGTCGTTATTGCTACGAGAGTTGAGGTCAGTCTACGTGACCGCGCGGCGATATTGCCTCGCAGCCATACGAGACACACTCTCCGACCGGCCATCGGGCCACTACCACTACCATCACCACCTCGCCCGGCTGGTGGCACATGCTCCATCGCCGACGACAGAAATAGTGCTGGTGGTGGTGTCGAGGCCATATAACCACCACCACCACCATGGCCAGCCCGAAGCAATAACGTCCTCGTCTCTCTGTCCCCCTCCTTATTCAGCTTCTTCTACGGCGCCGCGAACGGCACCCCTGCGTCCCGGATGATTTCATTGCTTCTGCCCGATCTCGTTCTTATTCACTTCGACTTGACAAAAGAATTTTATCGCTCATCCCGCTTCGCGCCTCGATACAACTTTACCCCCTCCTCTATGTATATCCATAGGGGGTGTGGGGTGTTTCTTTTGGTCGAGAGATATGCCCCCGATATATCGTTGCACCTCGTTGGGCTTCGCTTTTCAATTACTATACTATGCCACACTTGGATATCAAGTGGCGACTTTTTTTTTTTTTTTAATACCAAACTCGCGAGCTCTCCCAATGAAGATCCTCATCAAAGTTGAGCTGTTTCGAGCAACAAGAATTTAAGAAGCAAAGCTCGAGTCTTAGCACGCGGCAATTACGATCGAAGGCTTTGCCCTCTTCTCTCTTGTCCTCGATTTGTCCTAGGACACGTAAGATGGTTCAACGTGCCCCGTCATCGATCGTCGTCCAGTGTCCAAGCTGATTTCGCAAATACAAAAAAAGGGCTTCGGTCCGAGCAAATGGAAGCCCTTTCCTCGCCCCTTTGGCGTCCCGGATTAAACGTGCAGGATCTTCGGGGTGATTCACGCGTCTCCCTTGTTTCCCTTTTCGTTTCGGCTTCTCGACCCAACGAGCCACGGATGAAAACGAAGCCCTCGTCCTACGGATGATAAGGCGCGTCTAAAGGGGATCAAGGACGCATTAGCGCCTCGGAGAGATCCTGATTGTCCAGTAACTAGTGAGTTTTTTTTTGCTCTTCCCCCAGAACACGCACTAAAGAGCAAAACCCACCTATGTAGGTATATTATGAACATGTCGCGTGAGAAAATTGGCAGACTTGTGCAATCTAACTATAATGTGTACGTACGCAGCAACGACATCCGGTGGATTATGCTTCGTTTTTAGTTTTAAGGTGTCGCACTCGCAGCTCGTTAGGTCTAACGTTGCCGGGCCTCGATTTTTCACGCCCATGTGGCTCGTTAGGGAGGAAACAAAAATATCTCGGCTTTTCCAAGAATATCCCGTTGCAAAGGAGGGCAAACAATTTGTGGCTCGGTGCAACGCGCCTTTGGTAACAATGCGCATCAGCTTCGCTGAACTGTGACGTTAGAGGCAAAGACGGCGTGAGCGGGAAATTCAATATTTGCACGTCCAGCGGGGGATGGTAGCTCGGCCGGGCGACCTCTCGCCCTCGTCTTCTTCTCTTTTCTCGGTTACGGTGCGAAAGGTCCGAAGGGACGACGACGCCTCGCTTTTCTCGTATGCATAATATATATATATATATATATATATATATATATATATACGTGTAACTCGGCGCCCCTTTGGTACTGGCGCGTGTTGAAGGAAGGGGAGGGACGCGAGATGGAAATAAGGGATATTGCTCCGGTGACAAAGAAAAAAGGGAATCTTGGGAGGGACGAAAAAAAGGGATCTGTGTCTGTTAGGGTGAGAACGAGGTGTGGGGTATCCCTCAGAGCTCGCCAAACTCGCGTGGTTGGCTTTCCACGTTAAGATATTACGAGAAACTCTGCGATTTTTTGGTTTATTTTTTGTACTTATAAAAATTCATTGCAGTCGTTTATATTTTTCTTAATAATTTAATTTTGTCAGCAACCACTTCATTTTCACTACTTGTTACTCGTAGACATCGATTGATGTGGCGTATTATTTTTTCCTCCTACATTAAATATAAATTATTTATAAAACTTTCCACAGTAATTATCATTGAACGGGGTACAAATACGCTTGTACTATCGACAAAGACTGATATTTGTCGAGCAATGAAAACCAAACATGCAAAAATCACTCGAAAAAGAAAATCGAACAAGAGAGGGAAAGCGAATGGGTGAAAAGCTTCGCTGTCCTTTGTGCCGAGTTTCGTGGAGAAAGCAAGAAATAGAGGAGGGAGTTTGTCGCGCCAGTGGATAGTAGCGCGTCCAGTTATTGACCGGTGGAAAAGGGTGTCGTCGTCGTCTTTGGCGCGTCCTATCGTCCACTCTCCCTCGGTACTTGCACACACACGCGCGCGCGCCTTCGATCCCTTCATCCCTTGGCCTTTCCCGTACCCTATACCTATACTCTCTACGCGACAAGACGTGTCTCTCTGTGCGTAAAATGGCTTTTCGCGCTGTCCCTCCGCACCTACACGTGCATGTAAGTATACACGAGTCCAGTTGACACTGTCTTACACCTATATTCTGTTTCCGCCCTCCCTTTGCCTGCTCCTATACTGTGCGTGCACGATTTTCCCGCTTACGTGTATTGCTTTGCTTACACGTGCCAAAAGTCGGAGGTTCCACTGCGGCGTTGAATTTCAATGCTGGACGACTGAACATTTTACACGCTCTGGTGTGCCCTTTTCATACCTTCATTTCAATTTGGAGTTGAATGTACTTATCTTGTCTTCACATGGACTATTCTGTCAGACGAGTGCAACTAAATTTTAATATTTCAAGTAAGTTTACTGCAAAGTCATTTCAAATCAAATGATTAAATATTTGTTTCTTGCAATTATTTATTGAGCAATGTTTTTATACGTTAATAATTTTTTACGTACTTAAGGAAAAAAAAAGTCTGTCTATTCAGATAATGCTCGTACGGTTTCTTCTTTTTTTTTTCGATGACCAACTTTGTTCACTGTATATATTGCATGTCTCGTGAGTTCATGATAAAATCGACGAAAAAAAAGAAAAAAAACGCTATCCCAGAAATGTATCCCAACGGTAAGCTGTTCGAAGCGCCCAGTGCCCCCGTAAAATTTACGCACCCCCTGTAAGTACTTACAACGACGGAAACAATGGATCAGCCAGAGTTTGCCGGGGCTCAAGGGTCGGGGGAGGGAGGAGGAGGTAAGGACTGCGTTCAATAGTACACGGCGGACGCGGATCGTAAAGCTCGTCTCGTAAAACGAAGGGGGATTAAACGCGATGTCGGAAGTGAACGCGTGTTCTTGGGCCGATGGAGGAGGACAGCGTGGCAAGAGGAAGGATTTACGAGGACGATAAACGGGGATTTCGCGCGGCCGAGCTAGCGAGGTGTACTTAAAACTCGAACGATACGTGTATACGTGTGTTCACTCGCTGTATCGACCGATAGGTTTTCCGACGTCAAATGTATGCACGTATTATGCGTGCACGTCTTTGATTTGCACTTTAGATCAGCCGTTAACTTGTTGCGAGGGGAAATATAGATTTTTACTACAGGGGTGCCGGTAAAATCGATGAGTTTTCATCATTCGCTCGGCTGGGAGCAAGGGGAGCAAATGCTGTACTTTTCGCGTGCGTGCAGCTAGTTTTCACCCAGTGAATTTTCATGGCGGGATTTTTCCCGAGAGCCGAGGGATGAAAATGGCTTTGTGGGCCACGCTGGTTGGCTTTTACACGATGAAGCAATCGCAGATTTTTTTTTTTTGATGAAAATTATAGGATTAGGTACTAAAGTTTTTTTTTTATCCCTATCATCGATTTTTTTTTCCGTTTTCCACGCAATTTCTCAAGTTTTTCCTCTTGCAATAAATGGAGTCTCCTTGAAAATTCATCATCGCCTCACCCTCCCGACTTGCAGTCAAGGGGCACGCAAGTATGCGTATTAAAAAAAAAAAAAAAAAAAAAAAAAAGCAATTTCAAGATAACGAAGTTTAAATGAAAAACAGCAACGGAGCAGCAGAAAATTCCAACAGCTCGGAAATACTTTTTATTATTCTTCTCTCGATTAAACGAAAATTCATACAGGGCAAGAAAGGACAGAGCTCATCTTTGAGAAGCGAAAAAAGAACGGAATGCTGAGCGCGATGCAATGAAAAAATGATAATGATGATGATGACGATAACAGTAGGTCGGGGAGCAAAGAGCGCGAAACTTTTAAGGGTGGAAAGGTAAGGTCTAACTGTGCGCGAACCGGAAATTAATATTCATTATACACGTAGCGCGGCGAGAGACTCAGCATTAATGTGAAACAAACATATACAGCCCACCCTCCCCCGGATATTTATGTATGTACATGTATATACTCTCCGCTGTTGCGCTAATTAAAATACCTGGGCCAGCTGTCTTGAAGCTCCTCGTGGCGGCAACTACTCATACAATAAGGGCTTGGGAGAAATTAAGAGAGAGCAAAGTTCGAGCTGCCGGAATTACTTTCGTTTCGTCCAAGGGCCGTTTTTTCTCCTCTTTCCTGAAAATTTATCAACGTTGTTGGGAGATACGTGCGTACTTGAAAATATACATGCACGAATTGGAGTTTTTACTCGAGAGGAGCGTATACACGCGCGGAAAATCACGGTGATGTTTTGGTTTGCGTGATTTAAGGAATTTCATCTACACGCAGTACATGAAAAAAATTGTA